AAGGCAGATGTTCCTTTTAAGGATTTTTGTTGACGTCTTGCTTGCTTGCAGATTACGTATATAGAAATTTAAGCAAACCTGTAACCGGCGATGTCGGCTCGATCTTCCACAATTGTTGGCAAAAACATCACAGAGTAGATGCTGTCCGTGTCTTCGTGTTTTGTTAGATAACCCATTTAAACAGCAAATAAGGACGATTTAGGATCGAAGTTGCATTTCTAAACGAAATTAGCTTAAATGCACAATTTAACTAGGTTGGTAAGAGGCAGGGATGTCTTTGGCTTTAGTCATTCAAAAGAATGCCAAAACTTCAAAAAAATTTTTTTTGAATTTTTGAGATGCGTTCTTTTGCAGAAAACATAGCGAATTTTCTTTTTAATTTAACGTTATCGTTGACCTGCAAATTATTGCATAGCAACTGATATTTGTAGGCTATATTGCACAACATCGTTTATCCTAGCGCCCCTGCATTTATCATCACTTGCAAACCTTAACAAATGAGTACGCGCCATGTCACACCAATTTAATCATTTATTTGACTCTTGTTACCTTCGGAAAAGGATTTTTTGTTTGATAGTCTCATTTTGCCTACTGAAAAACACCCACGAAATGATATTTGCTGGTAAATGAAGTGGAAATTTTCAAGTCAGATAGAGCTGCCGCTGAAACTTAAGTTGTAGTGGAATTTTACGGAATTAATAATTAATTTGAAAAGAAACGTTGAAACAGAATCTGGAACGGAGTTTCTTAATTGTTGTTTTATTATTCCTTCGAGGTTATGCTAGATGATACTTGTCCTTGCATTCCTGTTTTTCCCCGTTAGAGTAGACAGGCTTAGTGGAGGTACGTGGTGATTTGTTTCATCCGTATACAATTAAATTTAATTTAAGAAAGTGGTAGTTGAATGTAAATGTTCTGTGTTTGCAATTGTATTTGCTAAATGCTAGAATGCGTTCTTAATTTCTCACAATGTTACTTGGTTTTTATTCCGTCACCTATCGTTAGGCTTGTTTTTTCTGTCATGCATTCTCGAATGAAACAATTTCATTTACTAACACGGCCTTTGTTCGCTAAAAGATGCTGATTTTTTGTACTAATGGCACTGCAGATTGAAGACATCAGTAGTTGCGCCCTAAATGAACCGATATTATTATCGGTGATTTTTCATACTAAATGCAAAAAAATAATAAGCTCAGCTATACCGTGCTGCGCATTTTAGTATCTGTTGTATATAAAATAAACCGTTTTTGTATATTATATGTAATATATGTTAATTATTTCATGGCAATGTGAGGATTGTAATTTTCCCTCTAGCTCTTCATAATAAGTTCTCTTTGAAAAACATCATTGTGAACTGAGATAGAATGAATATTTCCATTCTATTTTTATTTTTTCAAGTTTGTTAATAATTTAGATCAATTCAAAATTTCAAACTGCATATAATTGACCATGGAATTTATTGCGTTTATATAGAAAACATTTTTGCTTTTCAACTGGCTATTTGTTGTTTCCTTATTCGGGGTGATTTTTACCTTCAGGATTTCTGCCACGTTTCCGAAGTTTTACTTTTTTCGTACGTCCAGTTGACGCGTTTTGGGGGACATGTAGTCATCATACACAGCGTTACGTTTGAATTTGCATCTCATGTTTTAAGTTTAAATATTTTGCTTTTCCATTGCTCTATGGCAAACCACATGTTCTGCGTTTTCATGTTTTGGTTATGAACTACACCCATAATCAGACAACAATTCTATTGGTAACGTAAAAGTGGTAGAATTAGGATTGCTTAAAAGTGAATAAATTCAAGTGGTCAAGTTCAGTGGCAGAAATTTTGCATCTATAATTCACACAAATGACGTGTATTTATTTGACCTTATCTACACATGCTTCATTATTTATTTGTAGATTTTGGATATGCCCTTGGTAGTATGTACTAACAAATCATGAACTAGACCAGATTTCTTGATTAGAATGACTTCGTCGACAGCTACAGAAGACCTTGACATCTGTTCAAAAGATCGAAACTATGGCTTTTTTACGCTTGGA